GCCTCGGATGAGAACTCGGCCAATCGATTTATCGATCCGGCGCCGGCGTACAGAGCCCTGCGTAGTCACCTCCAGTCTTGCACCATCGGTCGATGATTGGCCTACATGCCTTATAACTTTCGCTTGTTCTGTTGCTGCTATTCCATTCAGCTTTGAGAGACTTAGACAAGGGATGCCGTGCATATGCGGGTGCTTTTCTCGACTACTGATCCGCCTTCAATACTATTCCGCGCCAACTCCTACTGACCAAAGCAGCTGCGTGTGACGCTCCGAGCTGGGTTGTTTCTTGGCTTAGAGATTATTTTTCCTTCCGCACACAGTTTGTCCAGTCGGGAAAGAGAAAATCTTCTATTCTTCCAAATAATTGTGGAGTTCGACAAGGTTCCATCTTATCCCCTCATCTTTTCTCTCTACATACTGATGATTTAAGATCGCCAAACGACTGCCTGTATGTTAAGTATGCCGATGACATGGTCGTAGGCCACCCACTCAAAAACCTGACTCACATACAGTCTTTAAAGGATGGCTTAGATCACGTCTCCGCATGGTCTTCGAATAATGGACTCCTACTCAACAATCAGAAATCAGTACAGTGTGTGTTTCGATTGCGACCCTCTCCCATTCCTGAACCTTTGGATATTCTTCCCAATGAGGTATCCTCTTTCCGGTACCTAGGTGTTACTTTGTCCTCAAATCTCTCTTTCTCTCTTCATATGGAAACCCTTTTAACAAAAATTCAAAAACTTGTTTATTACATTCATCGTCTACTTTCATATCACACACCCCAGTCCTTAATTTGGCGATTCATAGATGGCTGTATTCTTCCACTCATTCTTTATTGTTCTCCAGTTATTTTTCCAGCTTTGCTTAAAAAAAGATCTAATTATTTTTAAACGTGTCATTCGAATGCTCGCCTCTGCTGCTGGTGTTTCCTATCATATTTTAGTTGATATCATCGTGCAGCGACACTTCAATACGGTGGAGCAATTTGCTGACCGAATTCTGAATGACACCGTCCATCCCCTTCATAATGAGTTGATGGCTGCGAAATCCTTGCTCCCCATGCGTCGATGCTTCCGCCACATCCCTTGTCGCAATTCGGCTTATCAGAATTCCATACTGCCATTTCTAGCCCGGTAACTCACCTGCAAAGATGCTGAAAAACAAAAGTTAAAACTCGATCTTGCACCTTAAAGTCCTTTTTTCTTCATATATAATTATGTCCACCTGTCCAATACCTGTTAATCTCTGTGTTAATCACTGTGTACTGGAGAACTGTTTTTGCTGAAAGTTTTGAATGTTATTTTCAAAATAAAGCATTCCTCTCTCTCTCTCTCTCTCTCTGACGATGGACTCCTGTACGAGTTTGGAAGCTCAGGACAATAAACGAAGTGTTCCGGTGCTCGACTCTTCTTCTTCACAGCTTGATCTTATGGTACCTCTCACGTTCATCTGCTATTCCTCTCTATTTCGACTACGGGTTCTTGCTAAACCCAGGCTATCGGTGCGTATTAACGGTCTATGTTGGTCCGTGTACCATAGTGACCATACTAATCAGGCCAAGTCCCACGTACCGGAAGCCGACAAACACAGGTAGTTGACGTCCTGTCTGTACGGAAGTCGGATGCCGGCTTGAACCCGGAAGGAAAGTCGGCCGTAAGCCTGCGCGGATGTCTCCAAGAAAGTATCCAGTGGACACTAATGACTGTCTCACGTTGGAACCAATCAGCGCCAGCTCCGTGAGTCGGTAAGGTGATAGCGGGGTTTGTGAATGTCTGTGATTGTCTGTCCTTAGAGGTGTATGTGCACATGCTTCATGTAAAATAATTGCCCTGTGATTATATTTTGCAGTGAATGTTTGGTGTTTTCTTGATTTGATCACGATCTCCTCTTGCTCTTATTTTGAAGTTAAGGATTTAGTGGTTGCTAGAACGCTTTCACTCTTATGCATCCAATTGGGGTGAATCGACCTTTGGTAGACAATGACATTTCTGACAGACTTCTGGATTATAGATTTTTTACCACCTGTCGATTTCGGCGACAACAGGGTGAAAATAGTCGAATAGTGGAATTTAACTGACAACGCAGCGGACCTGGAGAGAACTTTATGGTTTAGGAAGGGGTACCGACAGAGACAGGGTAGACCGGAATGGACATTTGCAGCCACTCATACTCAACCCCAGGTCTGGATAACCGGTATTCGAACCCGAGGTCTTTTGGTCACTGAGTGCTAAGTCCAGCGTCCCAGCATTGAGCCACGATTTACGGGTCATCCCAACCTGAGGTTGAGTATGCAGAGCTGACGACGGCCAATAAGTCAGGAGTGGCAACCTCATTTGCCCTTATCTTTGTAGGTACCCTCTTCGTTGCGTACACTACTACTACTACTACTACTACTACTACTACTACTACTACTACTACTACTACTACTACTACTACTACTACTACTACTACTACTTACCATGCGACTGAATGCGAGGTTTTAATCTTAAGTCCTGAGGTCAACCCGATGACCACAGCCTCCCAGCGATAATTTCCGACTCATCTGTCCTCAGCAATTAGTCATACCACAATCGCACTCATGGGAAGACCGACTAGGCATGTCCTTATACTCCCCGACCGTCGTTTTCCCGTCACCATGTTGCAGCCTGCTGTTCTAGTACTTCCGCCCTTAATAGGTTAATCTTTTGAAAGTGTTAATCTGTTTACCAGCTCACTGACTGACAGGTCTGACGCGAAAGTCTCGACCGTAATCCCCTTAGGCCATACGATGACGGAAAACCGAAGGAGGCGATAATGTTAACCAATACCTTAAGCGATAGCTTGCTCACACTGTTGACCGACCTTGAGAATTACTTTCGGCATCGTTGGGCACCTTCAGATTTATCCTCACTGCCATCATGATTAACGCCTCGCATGATCACAACTGACCCCACCAGCACGGTATCCACAGTTCCCTCCTGCCCCGCTGCAGTTACACATCCGAATCATAAATTTACCTGGTCGGTTGCCCCCAAATCAGTCGTAACGTGGATGAAAAACGGATGCCAAGGCACCGAGCAACACCAGTGATCTCCTTCCTAACCGCCCACATTGCGCCAGCACATTCGGATCTCGCGCTGACCATTTCGGTCATATGCACATTCACAAGATCTGTCACTAATCAACCATAGTCCAGAGCTACTTTGTGTCACTGTACTTGGCACAAATGCATGAGCCTAACTGGATAAGTGCTTCTACATGTAAATGGTAAGCGAGGAGTTAGACGATGACCATCCAACGATCATGTGATGCAATCTGTCAGCAGGATGTCGGCGAAAGCATCGTGGAACTTCACAATACCACTCGGGAACTGGCACGCTACAAGGTGGACATAGCTGCACTCAGCAAGATCCGTTTCTCCGAAAAAGGTCAAGTAGGAGAGGTGGGCGACGGTAACACCAGCTTCTGGAGCGGTCACCCAAAGACAGAGCGACAGGACGCACGCGTCGCTTTCGCCATGCGAAACGACATCATGGACGACTGCCCTGACTGCCGCAGGACATCAACGATCGCGTGATGAGGCTCCGCCTGCCTATTCGTGGAGGCAAATTCACCACCAATATCAGCGCCTACGCTCCGCCGATAAGCAGCTCTAACGCCGAAAGAGACAAAATCTACGAGGACCTGCACTCTCTCCTGGCGTCTGTGCCAAAGGCGGATAAGTTGACTGTCCTTGGTGACTTCAAAGCTTGCGTCGGAACAGATCATGCAGCCTGGAGAGGAGTGCTGGGTCCCCATGGTCTCCGCGGCTCCAATGGCAATGGCCTACTCCTCCTACGAACCTGCGCAGAACACCGACTCATCCTGACGAACGCATTCTTCCGCCTCGCTATGCGAAAAACGGCATCCTCGGTCGCGTCAGTGGCACCTGCTGGGTTGTGTCCTCGTCCGGAGGCGAGA